AGAACGTTGCATATGAATGTTGATGGAGTCCGCAAACGAGGTAGACCGAAAAGAGATGGATGGATGTTGTGAACAGTGATATGAAGGCGATGGGTATAACGAGAGATATGGCGAGAGATAGAGATGTGTGGCGTGGAAAAATTCATGGACCGGTCAACCCCCCTGGCGGGGATTAATACTGGCCGGTATATAAATGCTGTTTGTTTGTTTGTTTGTATGTTGTTGAAAATGAAGGTTTGTGTCTAAATTTATCAATGATGAACTGATATTGCAACAATATTTTTTGTGGGGCAAATGTCATTGATCAAAACAGACTTTTGTCAGTTTTTTAATATGAATGCACTGCTCATGTATGTACTGTCTTCACTTTACTAAAGGCATGATATTCTTTTGTGATAAACTAGGCAGAAAGGCCATTTTACACAGGTCATGAATCTCAGAGTGTAAAATTGTGAATTAAGGTGGAAAAGTGAATCACAATTTTTGTTACAAGTTTGTTGAACTATCACCTTGAAATGAGAAACATACCTTGTTTCTTGTTTCTGGTATGTTGTTTCATTTCATATCTTGCTGGACAGTAGTCATAATACAGGATTGATGTAACTAAAAACAAACATTTCAAAATTGACAAAGTAGAACGTTTATCATAGTTGTTAAATGTTCATGAAAGCATGAAAATATTTTCAAACTCTTAAACCCTTCATGTTATGTTTGGTTAGTTATTATAGTTCACACTTGTCATCAGTGTCTTTATGTTCTATGTAATTCTGACATACTCAGTTTGGTTATGTAAATTGCACTATGCACCATCTTTGTCTGAATGTTTGAAACTTTGTCGACTCTGTTTGCTTTGACTTTAAAGCATTTTACTACGACAGGTAGACACAAGAACAGGAAAATTTTTCCAGTTCTAAAAATCATGAAAAGCCATGACCTCTTACAGTTTTCATCCAGTAGATTTAAATAAGAAGTTAAGATGAAAATAATTGAATTAAAATCATAGCGTGTTGATGAGATTTGAAAATTTAGATAAAATGTAAAGTTATTTTGCTTTTTGTATTTACCGCGCGTTTATTGCATCGCAAGTGGTCGAAAGTGATTTTAGGAATTGCAACATATCAATTCATATCCTCATGATTGAGTATAAAAGTACTGGGTGATTCTGCCGTCACTTGTGCGACATTTACACTGTGATTCTATAGTTATTCCCGACTTAAAGCTTAGACAATAATGAATGCATTACAAATTAATACATTGTTGTAAAATTTTTGGATTTTAATATTCGTTTACATTTTATATGTTGGTGATATTAGCCAAATCATATCTGGTTGTAAATTTTAGAACTTCAAAATAGAAATAATTTCTTTTGCAGACAATTTTAAAGGAAAAAACCTTAACATGGTGAACTTAAATATCAAAAAACTAACTTATGAAATATCTCGGGTAGGATGTATTCGCTGTTAAATTGTGTGAAATTAAAGGTATTTTGATGAGCCTTGAGACAGACACTGATAATGAAGATGTCAGTCACTATAGAAGATTTTATTATTGTCGTTGGCTCCATCAATGCAGCAATTTTTACTCAATAAAAAACCCCTGTTGCGAATCGTAAAGGTGGAAAAATTTCATTTTAGGCCATGTAGGGTGTTGAAACGTCGTTTTCTTTAAATAAAATTTGATGAATATTTGTGATTATGAAAGATCAAATCTGCAACACAACTTAAAGATGCTCAAAGTTACTTTGCAACTGTAGTACTTAACCATCACTTAATTTATATTTCTTTTGATAACGTAAATGTTTTACATTATTTCTCAGCTTAAACTTTATCGTTTCGTGTAGGTGACGTAGCTAATTCTATTTTCACGATGACGTGTATTTAACGAGGACCATGTTGTGAAATGTAAGTCTAACCTGGAGTTTCATGAAAACAAAAAAAACAGGAAAGCAATGATGGCAACATTGATGATAATTATGGAGGATATGTGAATTTAAGGACCAATGTTCTATGACTTAAAGAAAGAGTTTACAGCCAATAAACACACTGGTGAGAAGGTGTACTATGTTGGTCAACATGGTTATGATGTGTTTAATGTTAAAAACCAACAACTGTTCTTACTGTGAGAACTTTTGATCTACTAAGAAAGTCGAACTAATACAGGTCAGTACTTGTACATCAAACTTTAAACATTAAACTAGACTTTATTGAATGCTTATTTTTATGTGAAAATCTTCCCCCGTTCGGCGTACAATTTGTTTTTTCCTTAACAAATGAAATATGCACTGATTTCATCGTTTTTTAACGATAACTATTATCGTAAATAATCTAGTTTCGTAGTTTCGTACTGCGTATGTATGAAATGACTTTTCATTTTTCTTGCCGGTGTCAGAAGCCTAATCTGTGAGTCTGCAAATCTAAACCTTTAATTCAAATATCGAAAACTTTTACTAAAAATTTATCAAAAAATGCTTCGTTTCAAATCGGCAAATTTCGTGTTTCTATCCACTTTTCTAGAACATGGATGAAGGTACAATATTGCAAAGAATATGGTTACTTTCACATTTTGAAGACTGGAAAAAAGATATCTTTTCTATATCAATATTTGCTTGTTGAACTGAGTCTCGAGAATGACTGCACGGACTAATAAAAGGAGATTTAAGATCTGTTTCCGCTTGCCATTGCTATTTTTTTACTTGTTTTTCAAACTTTAACGGTTGTTTATTAGAGAGAATTATTTCAAGATTTGTTTTTAAGAGGTAAGTTGTTAACACAATTTTGTTTAAGATTCTGTAGAAAATAATGAAAACTGCAGTCTATATTACACCGGCTGAAAATGGTGGTCACATCCCAGATGTTTGGCAATTGCTACCAACTCTATAATCACCGTTATCGTAACTGCGTAAAAGCACTATTGATAAAGCACATTTGATAAAAACGACATGGCATTATGAGATGTTAAAAACGACATTGCAAATAAGATGTTAAAACATGTTTATTTTAAAAAACTTGTCGTATTAATCACCCTTATCACTTCGCTTGATTTCCTTTTTCCATCGTCTTCTTAAATTTGATGCGAAGGATGGAAAAGAGTCTGCTTAAGGAGGCATATACAGTAACACTTTTACTAAAATTATAAGAGAAAATACTTTGGATGAAATTGATAGTGGTGCAAACAAGGGTGAAGTTTAATATAGCGTAAAAACAGTCAAAGTTCATATTTTAGGCTTAGAAGATCATGGGTCTGTTGAGGAGAGTAATGTTGGCAATAGAAACAGGTTACAAATGTCTCATGAAACCCTTCAAAATGTTGGTGTATCAGCGAATGAAACTCGTGAAGCTAAAGAGAGTCGTGTGGACGACGTGATTTGTGTTTCCCACGAGAGTCGTGGAGCTAATGTGGGACGAGTTGCTAATTAGTATCGTGTTGTCGAAGAATGAAACTTTTCTTCAGAGTTTAATGAAAACAGAAAAAAGGAAAGTAGTAATTTCAATGTGGTTGATAAACATGGAGAATATGTGAAGTTAAAAGTCAATGCTCCACTACGTACGGAGAGATAACAGCCAATCAACGTGTTTTCCAAGGAGACAGCCACAATGACGTCACGTAGTAAGGCGTCACATGACAACCGTTCAAGAAACATGATGCCCAGTGATTCATTGAAAAATTATACCAACATGGGTTACAGTCAATGTGGCGATGATGTGTCTAGGGTTGATCATCAACAACCTGTTGTTGTTGTGAGAACATTTGATCATCCCGGAAAGTCGTACTCTTACAGATCAGTTGTACTACCGCAGGTCAGCAATACTATTACAGGTCAGTCGTACTACCTCAGGGCACTTAAACTATTACAGATCAGTTGTACTACCACAGAGCAGTCACAGGTCAGTTGTACTACCACAGAGCAGTTATACTATTACAGCTCTGTTGCAGTACAAGACACTGACTTGAATTCAACTGCACACGTAATCCTACTCTGTTATTTATTCACCTCTAATGGCTTACTATGCTTAATTTTATCAAACACGTTGTCTTTCAGGGATGTATTGTTATCGCTTATTTGGGTGGAGCTCTTATTCATATATGCATGTTATAAATCCGTGGATAACAATACATTTAAAGTTTTTAAAATTACCATTACTCTTTGTAGACAAAGGAGATCATTGCCAAGAAACCACTCAAGACTGAACAACGAAAATCTTTTAAATCTTCGACCACTCGCAGACGAAAACCTTTACCATCTGCCTGGACAATAAACCTTCAAAATTCGCCGTCAAGACATGAAAATTATGAAGATGTTCACTCTAATTACTTACCACCTAGAAGAAAAGCCAAATATCAAAGCGCAACTCGTACACGAGATTACATGATTTACGAAATGAAAGTTTGTGAGGCTAAAAGTCATGGTTCTGGTAATAATAAAAGATGCATAGTTGAAAACCGTCCAAAACTATCCCATGCTAAAAATGCTAAAACCTCGGCTTATTACAAAACTTCTGGTCGATCGCAACTTAGCTCACATTCAGATGCGTCAGAAGTAGATTATAAATTATCGCCTGTACTTCAAGACTAAATTAAGGATCAAAATTTTCAAGCAATTTCGACAAAAAGTGGGAAGATAAATCACATGGCCCAGAAATCATGTCCATTGTCAGTCGCAGTGGGTTTTCTGAATTCTCACCCACTCCTGCACGGCTAAGCGACAGCCAATCAGATATCTCTACGGATGGATATTCCCGTGGTAGTTATAAATCATTTAAAAACAAACTTGAAAGAAACGTTAAAGAAAACAGGGAGGTTGCTCTTGAAGAAAGAAGTCAATCAGTTTAAGAAAAGCATAATGAAGAAACAGAGGTATTTATATGTAAAATAAGTAAATGTGTTTGATGTTTTATTTGTTTCTCCTTGCCTTGCTATGGGTCTATTCTATTTACTTAACTTAAGTTTCAAAAATCTTTCACATCAATGGTTTAGATTGTCTTCTTTGATACAATCATTCTCCCGCCTCCCCCCATGGAGAACATATAGTATTTTTTCCAAGAAAATGTACTTCCTACTGTTATTTTGAAATTTCTACATTGTTAAAATAATCTTTTTTATGACGACATTGCAAACAAGGCGTTATTATTGATGTGTCTAATCTGACGGAAAACGTTATAGAAATACACTTGTTGAACTACCTATAGGAGACTGTGATTGAAGATCAGTGGTTTATCTGTAAGTTTACCAGACTTTGCTATATTGTATTCTTTACATGATTAAAGGCTGATATTCTTTAAAAATACTTGAGTTTGTGATTTCTTTTATGTTGTATATATTAACAAAGTTAAGAAAATTATATTGCGTCAGACGTTAATTTTCATTGCCGAAAGTTTGTGTATGTAACTTATTTATAACTCCCTTTACAAATACTCCGATTTAGTATAGAAGTAAAGATTTTCTACCCATCACGCAAAAAACATAAAGTTTGTAGACAGTAACTATACGGACTAAAACAATTCTATAACAATAGAGTGTTTTTTTGCTGCGTTTTTAAACACAACTAAACTTTCATACATACAGAATCTCGACAGTGTTATATTTAACGTATTCACGAAGCTTTAGCTTTGTTAGCGTGTATACTTTCTCTTCTTCATGACAATTTTATGAACTACGTTTGCGGAAGTGGACACGCAAGCAAATTGTATTATGCGGAATATAATTCTTGAGAAAACTGTTCTTGGTGTTGTCTAAATTAATGTTTTCATTTATGATATGTATATAAACCATTTTGCATTGATAATTCAAATATTGTCATTCGTGAACATTTTCATGAAATGATTTAACAAGAAACGATTGCTTGTCTTCGATTAGCTCATCGTACATTCCATTTTCAATATTTGGGGGGTGAGGTTGGGAGAGCGCATAGTTTCAGTCTAATCTATGTTTTAAAGAGTAGCAATACTCCTATAGTCTTTTTGAACGTTAAGTAAATTACAACGATTGCAAATATTGAGGATTATCGATGATCGACTTCATATATACGTTAATGTTTGAAAAACGAAAGAGATAAATGTTACCGGTTCATTAAATGCACCATGCTAAGCAGAACAAGAATTATGAGAATATTAAAATGATTCATGAAATGATTTAATAAAAACGATTGCTTGTCTTCCATTAGCTCATGGTACAATTGAAAATGTCGGAAATGTCTTGTCCTATGTCTGATGCTTGTGTATATCAAACATTATTCTTTATATCAAACATCTGGATTTTCCAGCATTTGAATTCAATTAGTCCCTTCAAGTACGGGGTGTCATTATTATTTTTACACTCTTTGCCTTATAATTGTAGTGAAAGTGCTCTAATTTGTTTTATTTTCCATTCTTAATAAGGTAAGGATCAATAAAACATTCACATAACCAGCATTCTTTTTGTTAAATTAAATATTATTTTCATTAATGCAACTGGAATACAATATATTTCGTGCTTAGTTAACCTTATATTTCTTAAATGTTGAAATAATATTATGTTGGAGGTCATTCAATTTACTGATATGAATCTTCATATATAATGCATAAATGACAAAAATATTCAGAATAATAAAGGTATTAGAAATTCTTTCCTTAGCGTAGTGTATAACCTCATGCATTTCATGTATAATCACCAATTTCCTTGTTTTTTAATTTCATCACATGAACAATATTCTCCATAATTGTAAATGATGTTACATGTTATTAGTTGCAACTTTGTTTCTTTTGTTTCGTTTCGTTTTCGTTTCGTTTCCTTTGTTTCGTTTATCTACATGTATGTAGACGTAATTCTAAATTTAAATTCATTCCTCCCTACGAATCTTATTGCTGAACTATTAATTTCGTTATACCTTTTGAATAAATCATAAGATGTTTTTCTGTTTTTTATATCATCTTACTTTAATCAAATTAGTATTCTAGGCTTGCCCAGTAGCGCCTATGGAGTACGTCAAATTAAAGTACTGCCGCATACTTTGTTATATATTTACATTTCATACCCCACAAAATCAAAATTGACTGTTTTCACCTCATTCTTGCTTGCAAAATATTTTAAATAAAAAAGATTAAAAATTTACAATATGTATAATGACTTTTCTTCAAATAAAAAAGGAAAAGTCCATTATTATAGATGACGATGCTCCTTTCTTTACATAAGGCATTGTCATGGGTGTTACACAATTCATTCCTTTCCATGGATTTGCCAAATACATTTGTCCTCTGAGGATAGAGCTTCGTAGAAGGTTATGTATACATAGAAGAGAATTGGAAAAAATTAGTTTTAAGCATAAAAAAGTGGAAGAAAGGGCATTTCAAATGCTGAGACATTGGACAAGCAACAATGGAGGAAAGGATAAAAATTTATTACAAGGTATTGCATTTAGACATTTTAAACGACAAGTTTTTAAGTTTTTTAAAGCATATATTTTCACACTTACATATACTCAACAGTAGAGAAAGAAAGAAATATTTACCAATGCATAGTATTTGCCATTTGTTGCAAACTTGTTTGTGAGAAACGTGATGTTGTAATCGTGCATGTTAGCACAGAAAGAGATAACATACTATATGTATAGGAAAAATATATTCAATATATGGCACTGCAATAAATTTCACCTGTAAAAATTATTCTACAGGTAAAAAGTTATTTTTTCCCTCAATGAGATAAGCTTCAATTAAACATTCACATAATCAACTTTCTTTGCACAATTAGAAATTATTTTCATTACAAATTAATTTACATTAATGCAACTGGAAAACAATATATTTCGTGCTTAGTTAACCTTTTATTTCGCTACTATATGTATAGGAAAAATATATTCAATATATAGCACTGCAATAAATTACTTTCACCTGTAAAAATGCGTCGACTTCACTACCATTATATTTTACACATTATACTTAATATATAGTTCCCGGAGGACGACGCCCCATTAGTTATTGAAAGTACGCAAATTTAAATCGATTTTTGCATTTGGTTTGTTTTCAGCCATTGTACTAATGATATTTTATTAACATTTTGGAAACAAATAAAATCAAATTAATTATTTGTAATTTACTTTCTTGTGACTAAAATACGAATCATTTTATCCGCTTTCTTTTTTGAAAAGTTTTTTATTATATACAATCGAATACTTAGATTGTATTCGTATAATTTTTATTTAATTTCATCTTGTTTTACGTAATTCTTATGAAATTTTATGTAAATGCAGTTTGTACATGTCTATCGTTGAAATCAGCGTAGGTTGACTGGGTTAACGTTTCTGGATAAAAAATTTTCAATTTTACTATTCTTCGACTATGTTCTGAACGGTTGACTCATTATAAGTTGGTATAGCCATTTATTGTACTAATGACAGATTTATGATTTTTAATACGCGCTATGTTAATAGCCATACCTATAAAGTCATAAATAGGAGTAAAAGATTTGGCTGGCTTTGCCACTGAAACTTATGTTGTGAATAACACTTTGGATAACTTTTTTTACTCATATAGTGGCCGAGTTTTTAGCTACGTCTTCACTTTGGAATTATTATTTTATATTCAGGTTTATGCATTTATTCTATTTGAAAAATTATTTGAATGAATGATTGTAATGCCTTTTATAAAAGCTGTAAAGTCTACCAATGTGGTTGCTCAAGATGAGGTTCATATCACCCACGAAGATGCTGCAGCAAATCTGGCCCAAGATGATGAAATTATTGCTCAAGATGAGTCGAAACTCAACGTTGCTGGTAATCTATTGCTTCATTTAAATTAAAAACACATTAATTTGTATTGTTTTGTTCATTGGGCTGATTCAAAAACATAAATTTTGCGGGCCGAAAATTTGATATCATGCGGCATGTAACATGTTTTAGTAATTAATCAAATTTAGGGTTGACTGGCAATCTTACAAAATTGAGCAAAAATTTGACAAAAGAGATACATGATGTGCATGGAATCCAAACATTGAAATCGAGGGAAATGTGGTCGCCATCGTCCATTGAAGCACCCTTTCGGCTTCTTTCAAATATCGAAATACCACATGGTGGAAATCAGAGTAGTGGAGCATCTCGCGGTACGATAACGCTGATTTGTCTGAAGGATGGTGTTTACTCCGCCTTGACATGCGCACATATTGCTTGTGCCACTGACCACCAGCAAACACTTCTTGACGGAGAGCGACTGGTATCAATCAGCAACGCTGTACAAACCTTGAATAAGCACGATGAAAACAATTATATGTACACACCGTCTAAGAGTGACTGTAAAGCAGAAATTGGATCTTCTCATCGACACACCTTTGCTCAGTTTGATAGTGAAACAGACATCATGTCTATCAATATTGGCAAGCAAGAAGATTTCAAGAAACTTATTGGTGATGAAATGGAAGATGTTGTGTTGAACTTGGATGATGCAAATGAAGAACTTCAACGAAGGGTTGAAGACAAGAAGGAGACTGTTAAAGTTCGCACAGCCACTGGTGTTGAGGGCTTCATCAGTGAATTGAATTATGAGTATTGGTGTAAAAATTCCACACGTCGCATTTTCCAGAATGCCATCAAGATAAAAAGTTGTCAAACATTTCTTGATTCCGGTGACTCTGGTACACTTGTTTGGTTTTTGGATGAAAAAAAAAATTGGCAACCGTTCGCGTATGGAGTTTGCGAAATATGTGATGATGGTGACAGCGGTTCAGAAAAAAGTTACATCTGCCTGAAGTTGAACCACGGCTTAAAAGCTCTTGGTCTTCAGAATGGTCAATTTTTTAGACTTCGGGACAATGGTCTTAGTGTATCCAACAGTGTTAAAAGCGGCGATGGTGAAGGAGGTGCAGCTAACAAAAGTAAGATGTTTTGAGTTACTGCTTCTTTGCCTTGTATGAACATTTTGCCGCCATAAAGGCGTGCTGTATGTCAATGAAGAAAGTTTCGTTTTCTGTAAAGTGACGCTAGCCTTTTATATTCTTTTGTTTTTATGTAATATTTCAAAAGACTCTAAAGTGACAATGAATCATCGACTCATCAATTGTAAACGTTTGGTTCAATTTTTCGCTGAGGATTGTAGCTAATAGTTGCACGAAATATTTTCATGACTGAATAATGATAATTTTAAACTTTTAGTTAAAGAAAAGAAAAAAATTGCTCTTCTGAGTGCGGAGTTAACTTCAACACTTGGTAAATTTGATATTTTTTGTTTGAGAGATTCCAGTGACTAGTCCAGTGA